AAGCAAAGTAAGCATTGGAATAGTATCACCACACTCCAGGCAAGCTATACAGATCATCATCTTGCCCTGAAAGCTCCCCCATTGCCAGATAGAACTTCAACTGAACAGGTATCTTTTTGAACTTCTAACTCTTAGTGTAGGCATCATTAGCTCTAGGTTTGTGAATAAGAAGTGTTCTACTCATGCCCCTGAATCTGTACATGCTTTTACTTTTCATTTATTTTGCTTGAGCTGTGAGAATTTAAGGTTTGAATATGGAAGAAAAGTTAGGTCAGGATTTGGGAATGTCAAAATTCTCTCTCATTTCTGAGAGTTAGGATGAGTTCTTTATATATTTAGAATCGTGATTCAATGCTTAACATTTCTTATGTTGTAAGTTTGTGCAAAAGATCAAAGAATCCAGGTGTTTGAATGGAGGTTCAGGCGCGCGTTTTTTGAACGTTTTTCTATCTGAAGGTTGAAGAAGAAGCCACGTGGGCTGGGCCTGTTTTGATTTTCCTTTTCACACCATATATTTGCTTTCATACCCCCCAGGCCCATTTTGTGTATTTGCATGATTTTTTGACTTTTCTTTTTTTATCCTGACTTATTTATTTTTGCTAATCATATTAAAAAACATAAAAAATATTTTTACACCATTTTTATATTTTTAGGCATTTATTTAGTTATATTGCTATTTGTATGTAAATAAGTACAAAAACATATTATTTAGAATAAATAGGAAAATAATGTAAACACCATTTTATTTTCATTTTTTATTTTGTTTTATCTTCTTAAAATATTTTATATAAAATATACTTTTTTTATAAATATTAATTATTATTATTCTTGTATATATAATATATTTAGTAAATAATCAAGATATTCATATATATATTAATATACTTAGGGCAAAAATACCAAAATACATACATTTTTTATTTTATTAATATTTGACATGAAAAATACTTTTTTATGAATATACTCCATTTTATTTTATTTTTTGTATATAATTATTAAATATTATACATATTAAATAGTTAAGATATTTACTTAATAAGAATTAGGGTTTTACCCTTAAAACACAAAAACTCCAAAAATGTTACTTTTTTTATTTTATTCATTTTTGTTTTATTGGACATAAAAAAAATACCTTTTTTTTCATACATATGAAAACCCTTTTTGCATCTTGCATCTTTATTTTATTTTCCATTTAATTTAGGCAATTAATTATCTTGTAAATATTCCAAAATTGATGTAATAGCTAGGTTTAAATTCCTTGTCTAAATATCCCCCCATTTGAACATTTGTACCCCCCTTCCCATATTGTGTTGTAATAGTGTAGGAATTTTACTTTTCGCACTTTAACGCTTTCTAAATATACTATGCTAGAATTAGGGTTTGTATGCAAATAAAAAAGAACAAAATAGTTTGACCTAATTTCAAGATAATCAAGCATGAAAATGGACAACACATACCACACTTGCACCCCTAGGGTATTCCACTTGTTGCCTTCAAATAAATGGGGCATATTGTATGTTAGGTTTCTTTGGGTAAAACAAACAATCAAATGATCATAGTCCCTCGATGACGCTTTCGAAAAGTTGCCTAAAATGATCAAGTCCCTTTCAAAGAGAAATTGCCCAAAGATACTTAGCACTATTGCAATTATGGCCTAAATGATGACCCGCGCCCGTCCCTTTCACATCCTAACACAAGATTGTCCACCAAATGCAATGGTGGAACAAAATTGTTAAAAGGGTTAAAACATAACAAAAATCTTTGAGAACTTTAGGGTAGATAACTCTTAAGTACTTGTCAATTTGCAAAAGAAAACACTTGCCTATTTTCAAACCACACTTTCAAAACAAACTTTCAAAAAAACCTTGAAACATCTTTTCAAAAAGACAAACACCTTTTGTAAAACATTCGAGTAAAAAATTGTTACAAGGGTAGCCTATACAAGGCATCTTTTTCAAAACCTTTTCAAAGCCACACACAAAGCACCATTTCAAACAATTGAAAACCAAGGCAAGTTGATCTAAGCAAGTACCTAAGAGCCCATGGATAACCATGGATAGAAAGGGTGCTAATACCTTCCCTTTCTATAATCTACTCCCCGAACCCAAGAAAAATCTCAAAGGTTTTTGCTGTGCTTTTTAAACCTTTCCTTAGGATAAAATAAAAAGTCGGTGGCGACTCTTGCTCAACCGAAACATTTGCGAAAACAAACGCAAAACCATAGTCAGTTCTCCCACCGTATCACAAAGTGTTATTCCTATTTCTTTTAGATCTTGTATATTCCTGTATGGCATCACCAGATGTTCTACTGAAAGCTTCACAATTCGCATCTTCCTCTAAGTACAAATGCATTTCATCATTTTACTAATTGTCACATATATAATGAAGTATTATATTGTGATGTATATAATGAAGTATCATATACTTTCTCCGTCCCACAATAAATTACTCACTTAATCATTTCACACATATTAAAAAATATATAAAAGTAGGAGAGAATAATATTTTTACTATATTATCCCTTATTATGTATTAGAGATAATGTAATTTTAATTAATTAGAGGATAGAATTGAAAAATATATATTAGAAATTAAAATGAACCATTCATTTTAAAACATTATTTTATTCAAAATATATCACTCATTATGAAATGGAGGAAGTATAATAAAATAACAAAACTAAAATTTTACCTTGCGATTAGGTTTAGTGAGGACGATCTTACGATGAAGATCAAGAAGATGAGTTGGTGGCTGTAGCTCATTTGGTATTTTCTCTTGAATGTCCGGCCTAGTCCCTGTTGTCTTATTATTCTGTGTAGGCTGATAACATATGAGAAAACTCTTCATAGTATCTATCAATTCATTCTCCATGTCATTTTTCGACAACAACTTCAGTACTTGATATGGAAGTTGATTCTCCAACAAAAGCACATCCTTCATCACATGAGCAAATTGATCAATCATAACATTCACAAATTCCAAATCCAGATTATCAAGTTGATCAACCATAATATACTCCAATGACAAGGAAAGTAAAATTCTTAGAAAAAGGATTTGCGCTTTTAATGTTTATTTATTAAATTAAAAGATGATTTGATTAAGATCTGCTTGATGTGTTGGTGTAGATTAATTTTTTTTGCATTAAAATTTTAATAATTATCCCTAGCTTTTTCACTACTAAAGTTTTAATATCACAACTAAACTATACTCCATTGACAAGCAAATTAAAATTCTTAGAAAAAGGCCCTGGATTACGATTTGCACGATGTGCGGAGGTAGATTGAAATTTTTTTACATTAAAATTGTAATAATTATTATTTCTTTTACAAGGTTAATCAATTTATACTTACAATATTTTTATTTTTAATTATACATGTGTTCTAAATAAAATAATTATGTGAAGGAGGCACTAATAAAAAAGTATATATTAAGTAAAAAAAAATATGTGTTTGGAATAGGCCAGTGATACATTAAGTTTTAAATTTTATCTTTTGTAGGTAATTTCTATTAGAGAAAATCATATTTAAGATAAGAATATTTAGTTTTTTTAAAAAAAAAAAAAAAAACAAGCTTAGGTATAAGTTATGTATTTCTTATGTAAACGTCATAATTAAATTTGGACCTTCGGATTACACAACCAGATATATTATTAAGTATAATATGTCAAATTAAATATAGGAAAATTTATATAATGGTTTAACAAATTGTTTTAAATTTCAATTAATTAAATATTATGATCTAAAATACTATCTTATTTATGTCATTTTTAAGTAAGAAGATGGATTTTTTAAATATTTTATTTTTCTCTTTACGAGTGGTTAAGTTATCTACGGTACATTTTTAGCATTGATTGTTATAAAATACAAATTGAATAATTCAATGTGTTTTAGAATATAGATGTTAAAATTATATGTAGGTCGTTAATTCTCATAAGCATCTAGTTCTTGGTCTAAGTTCATCAACATAGTTTGGAAAAATGTTGGGAAATTTTTTTTTAGAAATTTGGGGAAAAAGCGGTAGAGATGGGACATCTTTATGGGAGGAGATTTTAAGAGAGGCGATGAAAGAAGCGAGTTTATATTTATCTATTTCTTTGAAATTCCTGATAATAGTGATGCTAAAATGTTGTTTGAAGTCTTCGGCAACCGTGGAAAATTAGTGGAAGTGGTGATACCTCCGAAGGTTAACAAGTTTGGGAAAAGATTTGGCTTCATAAGATTTATTGAGGTGGAGGACCCGAGGAGATTGGCGATTAGATTGGGTAACATCTTCATGGAGAACAAAAAAATTCACGCAAATCTTCTTAGGTTTGTGAGGAGGGAGGAAGGTGATCAGAGAGTTAAGGGGATGCCTTTTAGTGGAGCTTTCTCGAAACTGAAACTGTATTTCAACAAGCAGAAGTTTGCTAATCAAGGAGGGAATAGAGGAAACAAGTCATTTCCGGAGGTGGTTGGTAACAACAACAAAGGAACATCGGCTGAAGCTTCAAACAATGTTGCTTGTCTGGAGTACCATTCCAAACCAAAAGATGTTTAGAGACTCAAAAAGGCTTTTGTTGGGGTTGTGCTATCCCGGGATCTTCTTACAACGTTCAAACCCATTTTGACATGGAAGGATATTTTGCTATCAAAGTTGCGCCACTCGGAGCTAATATATGCCTTCTTGAAGAGGTTGAAGATGGAGAAATAAGGGACCTTATAAGGGAAGGGATTGATTGGTGGAAACAGTGGTTTGTTGAGATTAGGGAATAGAGAGCCGGGGACATTGATAAGGAGAGGGCGTCATGGATTCTCTGTTTTCGGATTCCATGCCACGCTTGGAATTCAGATTTCTTCGCTTTTTGGGCTAATTCTTTTGGAACATATATTTGTTCGGACAAAAATACCTTGAAGTGCAAATGTATGGATGTGACCATATTTCTTGTTCGTACCAGGTGCGGTTATTCATTTTAAGAAACCTTTAAGGTGAGTATTGATGATGAAGTTTTCAGTATTAAGGTGATGGAGGACTCTCATACTCCAATGAGGATTTCAGTGAGAAACATTAATCCTAAGGTGGTGAATGATCGGTCGGAGACAAAAAGCAGTAGGGAAGGGTATAATTTAGAAGGTAAAGATGATTGGTCTTCGGTGAACACTTTGCCTAATTCTCTGGTGGGTAATAGAGAAGACACGGATATCGAGGAAGAGGAACTTATTGAACATGTTTCATAAGAGCTGAAGGTTAAGGTGACAGAGGATCATTCTGGGTTGAACAAGTGTCTGAGGAATAGTGGCAACATATCTTTCGATGCTATTCTTGAAGCGGCTAAGGTGGCTAAAGAAAAAGCAAAAGGGAATAGTCAGGTAAACAAGTTACCTAAAGCGATATATGGGAAAAAGGTTTCAGTTGGGAGTAGTGAAAAAAGTGTATCCTCGCTGGAAACCTTTTTTAAAAACAAGGAGATTAGCATTGTCTCAACGTGTAAGGGTAGGGGTCTCCTCATTAAATAGAATTTGGCCCATCTACCTCCATATGGGCCGGGGATTGATAATTGTTTTATGAAGCCCATTATAGACCAAAAGTTCCAACTAAAAAAAACTTATTGTGGATATTTTGGGTCAGGCCAAGCATATTAATTTAGTGAAGTTAAGGTTAGTTGTTGATAACCCAAAACACTCTTATTATCCTTCTATCGATATTGATGTGACTCAACAGTCAGAAGGGGAATAACTTTCTAGAAGGACGGTGTTATGTTGTGGGTATACATTAAATTCGGATGTCAGCAAAGGGAATTTTAGATTTTGGGAAGAATGGGAAGGCGTAAAATCTAATGTGGGAGAAAGATTATGGGAAACTATAAACAAATTGGGGGTAGTATCAAAGGATAACAACAAAGATTACCTCAGGAAAATTCAAGTTATGAAGGCAGCTGATAAAGAGAAATTTGTAGCTCAGAAGGTGATTTCCAAAGATTTCCAATGATTATCGCCTCCATGAATATTAGAGGGTGGAGGAATATGGTTAAAAGGAAGAGAATTGGATTAGAAATAACATCAGGCAAGGCTGATATTTTTCAGATTCAAGAAACGAAAATTCAGTTGATGGATGAAGCTAGAGTGAGGAGTTTTTGGGGGAACAATAGGGTGGGTTGGTCTTCGGTTTCTTCTGAAGGCCTATCAGGTGGTTTATTAACTATTTGGAAAGAAGGGGTTTTTGAACCAATCCTTAGCTTTAAGGGGAATGGTTATTTGGGCATGAAATTTATTTAGAAGGATAATATCAATTACATGGTGAACATCTATTCTCCTTGTTGTCAGGATCTGAAGAGCAAAATGTGGAAGGAGTTGTGTGACTTGAAACACAAATTTAATGATAGAGAGTGGTGTGTTGGTGGTGATTTCAACGCCATAAATTGTTCTAAAGAAAGGAAAGGGATATTGAGTTATAACAGATAGACAAAAATGAGGGATTTCAAATTGAGGGTAAAGGAAACAAATTCCGTTGGTATAACGGTGATGGTAAATGTATGAGTTGAATTGAGCGATTTCTGGTAGATGGTAGATTGGTCGACATATGGGGCATCGTGGAGCAGAGAATTGGTAAGAGGGAATTATCAGACCATTGCCTAATCTGGATTATGATTAATAATTTGGATTGGGGGCCCAAACCATCCAGAGTAAACGATAACTGCTTTGAAGATAAGAGTATTATTATTTTTGTGGAGAAGGAATGGCAGGATCTCAAAATTCAAGGTAGATGTGATTATATAATTAAAGAGAAATTAAAAAATATCAAGGATCGGCTGGTTCATTGGAACATAAATGTTTATGGGAAGACATACCTTGAGTTGGAAGTAGGGAAGGATCAAATAAACAAATTAGGTGACTTGCTCGATTCTTGCAGAAGTGAGCAGGTGGAAGATATAGTAATTAATCATAGCAATGAGGTTAGTAATCTTTGGAAGAAATTATATAGAAGAGAGAACATTATGATCCAAAAATCGAGGGTGAAATGGATTAGAGATGGAGATCTGAACACGCGATACTTTTATAATATCATGAAGGGAAGGAACTTGAGGAATTTTATTGGTTCCATCGAGACTGCTGCTGGAAAAATTGATTCGGTTGGAGCGGTGAAGGAAGAATCGTGGAGACATTTCAAGGAAAATTTCAGTGAGCCGGAGCGTATCAGACCGGTGTTGGATGAAATTGACTTTCCTATTTTATCTTTAGAGGACAGTAGTAGTTTGGAGGAGGCTTTTTATGAACAGGAGGTGAAAGACGCTGTGTGGAGTTGTGAGGGGTCCAAGAGTCCAGGGCCGGACGGATTCAACTTTGGGTTCATAAAAAATTATTGGCATTTTATGAAGGAGGATATATGAAGACTTATATTAGGGTTTCATGGCAACTCTACTTTATCTAAATCCATCACTTCTTCTTTCCTTACTTTGATACACAAAAAATATTTAGCAAGCTCTTTTGATGATTACAGACCGATTTGCTTGGTAAGGAGTTTGTATACAATATTGGCAAAAATTATGGCGAAAAGATTGAAGAATGTCTTTGGTTCTTTGATTTCGAAAGATCAATCTGCTTTTGTTCCGGGTGCCAAATGCAAGACGAAGTGGTGCCTAATGAGATTGTTTATTATGCGACTAGAGCAAAGAAGGAATGTCTCCTTTTCAAAGTTGATTTCAAAAAAGCCTATGATAGAGTGAATTTGGACTTTCTGCGTTATATGTTGAAGAGAATGGGATTTGGGAGCTTATGGTTAAAGTGGATGGAGGTGGTTGTGTTTAACAGCCATATGTCGATTTTAATTAATGGTAGCCCTTCTAAGGATTTTGTGGTGGAAAGAGGATTGAGGCAGGGAGATCCGTTATCACCGTTTCTTTTTGTTATAGTGGCAGAGGGATTATCGGGGTTAATGAGAAAAGCGGAGGATACGAGAGCTTTTAGGAGTTTTTATGTTTGCAACAGTTTTAAGGTTGATTTGTTGCAATTTTCTGACGACACGCTCATTATTGGAGAGGGAAGTTGGGACAATCTTTGCGCGATTAAATATGTTTTGAGAGGGTTCGAGATAGTGCCAGGTCTCAGAGTTAATTTTAACAAAAGTCGTGTCATTGGTATCAATATCAACAACCATTTTTTATCAGCAACAACTGACTTTTTTACTTGCAGGTCAGAGGTTAAGGAATTCAAATTCCTTGGCATCCATATTGGTTCGAATCCGAGGAGGTTGAAGATGTGGAAATTCTTATTGACTAGGATAAAGGTTAAATTATCAAGTTGGAAAGGGAGATCACTATCAATTAGAGGAAGAAATATGTTGATTAAATTGGTACTTAGTAGTTTATCCATTTTTCTGCTTTGGTTTTTCAAAGTCCCAATGAAGTTTTGGAGGGAAATTGAGAGTATTTAGTAGAGGTTTCTTTGGGGAGACAACCAAAGATAATCAGAGTAAAATTTATTGGGTAGGTTGGAACCAGATTTGTAAGCCTTTTAATTGTGGTGGCCTCGAAGTGAAAAGAGTTAATATTTTAATATGGTGTTATTGTATAAATGGAAATGGAGAATTCTCGAGGAGAAGCAATCACTCTGGAAGGAAATTTTGACGGCAAGATATGGAAATATTATTAATCACATTATGATATATTATGTTTCCAGGATCAGATATTCTGCTTCTAATTGGTGGAAGGATCTGATATCTGGTTTTAAACACATTACAGGTTCTGCTTGTGATTTTGCAGGCAACATCGAAGTTGCTATTGGAAATGGACAGAGGGTACCATTCTGGTCGGCATTTCAGGTTAACAAATTTCCACTTAACGAATTGTTTCAGGACTTGTACACTGTGAATAACAAGAAGGATTGAAACGTAGATGAGATGGGGGTTTTGATCAGGACTGATTTGAATTGGGGAAATTTTGGGTTGTCGCCGACGATTGATGAAACTGCGAGTATTCAGATCGATGCCTTGTTATTGATTCTAGATGAGGTGCAGGTTTCTAATCAGGAACCTGGCTTATTTTTGTGGAATCCGAATGATGATGCTGGATATATTGTTAGGGAATTTTACAATCAGATTTGTCATCATCTTGATCCGATGAACTTTCAGGTTGGAACAGACAAGGCATTTGGTTTGATTTGGGAAATCTAGGCCCCTCTTTGTACCAGGGTATTCGCTTTCAGAGTTATGCTCGATAGGTTACCTTCAAAGGAGCCATTCCGTAAGAGGAACGTGTCGCTTTTGTAGAGCAATTCGTTGTGCAACCTCTGTGAGCAAGATAAGGAATATGTTCACCATATGTTCTTCTCTTATTTCATATCGTTAAGAGTTTGGGATGAAACTGGAAAAAATGGATTGGCTTGGGAAGATTTCATGTTGAACCGGCTTGGAAAAACCTTTTGGACTGGTGCAGTAAAGCTAGCAGTAACAACATTAAGCGTGGAACAACAGGAACAATGTGGTTGGCAATTATTGCAACAATTTGGAAGACGAGAAACGATATGATTTTTAATAACGAGGAGTGTATCGTGTCGGATATTGCTTGGTCTATTAAGCTTTTATTGTGAAGGTGAGCCTTTATAGGGAAATTTGCTTATCCCAACATCAACTTCAACTTCTTTTGTAAGGAGCCTTTTAAATGGCTAGTATAAATTTGGTTGGTTAGAAATTTCTTTTATCCTAGGTTTTTCTAGTGTTTCACTACAAGAAAAAACACAATTTGCCTGAGAATAATACCCTCACAAGTGGCAAAAACCACACACAAATGCAAAATTTGCGAGGGAACTTCTCCCCTAAAAAAACAGGTGGTCGCAAATTATTTTGCGAGGGGCTTTCCACGTCGCATATTTTCCAGGGGCTAACCCTCTCACAAAATGAAATCACAATTTTCAAGTATGTGACATGCAAACGTAGGCACAACTAGTAGTACAGATTAGTAGTGCAGATCATTTGTTTGGAGTTAAGCCCATGACAAAATGTATAATTAATGTAAAAAAATAAATATAATTACTACAATATATAATAAACTATTTTTAATATATACTAAATTTTTTTGATACTAAACATAACAATTCTAAATATATCTACAAATTTATACTAAATATAAATAAATTATTTTTAATATAAACTGTTTTTAATATAAACTATATATATATACAGTTTTTTAAATATATACAGTTTTTTAAAATATATATACAAAAAAACCAAAATTAGAAAATAAAAATTAGATTAAGCATAAGATAGAAGATGAAACAACATTATATTAACCACACAAAATATTAATACAACATTTAACACAACAACCACACAAAACACAACATCAACAATTTTATAGAACAACAACCATCAAAATAGAAAACGGAAAAGAGTAAAAAAAAATCAAAGAAGTTAGAAGAACCAAAACAGCTTTGAAACACACTTTTTTTGCAGCGGCGGCTCAACTTTCGCGCAAGACCGACAAATCTGAATTACTCTTCCTTCATTTTTCCATGTTCTTCATATTTTTTTTTTGTTTTCATATAGTTGAGAAAGAGTAAGAGTGAGAAGAGAAAGAGAAAGTGAGAGAGGAGATACGATGGAGAAAGTGAGAAAGAGAAATAAAAAATGAGAAAGAAAAAGAGAAAGAGAGATACGTATTGTGTTTTTCAAAAAATAATTTGCGACAGACTGACCTAACAAATGGAAAAGTAATAATGACAAAAATATTTGCTAGGAGCTACCCCTGGTAAATGAAAAAGCAATAATGAAAAAAATAATTTATCACGGGCTGCCCATAACAAATGGAAAAACAATAATGACAAAATTATTTCCCACAGGCTACTCCTGGCAAATGAAAAAATAATAATGACAAAAATAATTTGCCACGAGCTTCCCCTGACAAATGTTTATCATATATTTGTTTTTGTTTTTTTATATTGTGAGGGGATTAACTCCAAACAACTGTTAATTTAGTGAAAGACTTTACCTCTGACAAATATCCTCTAGCTAAACAAGATTTTTCTTATAAATCGAGTTCGAATGTCCTAATACTCGTTTAATCTATTCCTTACTTACAAAATATATATATATATATATATATATATATATATATATATATATATATATATATATATATATATATATATATATATATATATATATATATATATATATATATATATATATATATATATATATATATATATATATATATATATATATATATATATATATATATATATATATATATATATATATATATATATATATATATATATATATATATATAATATGAAAAGTGGAATTAAATTTTAAGTTTCTATTTAAGTGACGACATATTTTTGTAAAAAATCAAAACGTTATGATATAAGTTTAATTAACAATTTAGCAAAGAAATCAAATAACTATCTTTTTAGAATTAAGAGAATATCAATAATCAAAATAAAAAAGTTATACATTAATGCCATATCAATAACATATATGTATATAAAAAATTATAAATATTAAAAATAAAAATATGAAAAATTAGCATTTACAAAATTATATTTTTAAATAATTAAAAAATCGTTATACAAAAAAAAAAAGAGTTGAGTAAGGTAATGAGGGAGAAAATAAAATTTTGTAATTTACATAATTATTTTCTTCAACAGATTATGTAGATTGTCCAAAACATAAAGAAGAAAAAAAAGTAAGAAGAAAATCAATCAACCCTAAAAAAAATACTACAAACAGATAAATAGATTTATGAGTAAGTATTTGCGTAACATGAATAAAAAATTGTAATTTTTCTTAAAAATTAGATGAAAGTTAATTAAAAAAAAAAACTATTTAAAGTAAAATTAAAAAAAATGAATATGAAAAACAAATCAGCCAAAAATATAGATATTATGGAAGAAAAAAGAAAATTACTCTTTAAACAGAGCATACATACTTTAACATATTAGCATGCTCTTTCCTATCAGAAAAAAATAATTAAAATAATTAATAAAAAATTTTGGTGCCTTTTTACATATATAGAAAATATGCGTCTCTTTGTCTCACTCACTACCTTTTCACTCTGAAAACCAAACAAAGTACAACACAATCTATTACAAAAAAAACACCAATATCTACACTACATGATTCACATCCATATGGAAGATATAAACAGAAAATGTCATTTATTATAATACTGCTCACGTATGCTGTGCTGTTTACGCTGAAATTGTGTAAACTGGTTAAATAAAAAAATAGCAGCATAATTTGAGATTGAGAAATTTAATGGGAGTAATTTCTCTCTGTGAAAATTGAAGATGAAGGCAATTCTGAGAAAGGATAATTGTTTACTAGTAATTGAAAGTAGATATGCAGATATAACTAATGAAAAATTGAAAGAGATGGATGACAACGTTGTTGCCAATTTGCACTTAGCAATGACATATTTAGTTTTGTCCAATATTGCAGAAAAGAAAACTGCAAAGGAGATCTGGGATACCCTCATCCAACTGTACGAGGTCAAGTTACTTCACAACAAAAAAAATTTAAAGAGGAGACTCGACACTCTTCGAATGAGTAAATCAACTTTGATGCCGAATCACATCAACAATTTAAACACATTACTTGCTCAGCTATCTGCATCAGATTTCTCAATAGTGAAAATGAACGAGCATAACTTCTTATTCAGAGTTTACCAGATTCATATGATTAACTCGTCGTCAATATTACAAATAATAATATTGTTGAGCGTCTATCCTTCAATGATGTCGACGAAGCTGTTCTTGAAGAAGAATCCAGATATAAAAATAAGTAAGATCAGCAAGAAAACTCAAAACTAATAGAAGCTTTGACGATTATGAGAGGTAGATTGTAACACCCCACTTTTCCAATTCTAATTAAATCGATAAATAACTAGAATTTCAAATAAAAATAGTTTTTAGACAAATCAGAGTACTCATTAGTGGGATGTCACATTCTCAAATAAAACAAAATCAACGAAGTTTTATTTCACTTCATAGAATAGTATCTCAATCGATTGGATTAAAACAACGGAAAATATTTTCAAATAATTCACTTCACGCCCTCAAGGCTCCAAATCAAATAAAACTCCCACTCCTCAGGGGTTTAACAAAATTCTGAAAATAAAGATACGTAACAACAATTCAAAAAAAACAACATAGAACTAAATTCCCATCCCGGTGTTACGTATCAGAGCGACTCATACGACTCGATCCAAAAGCAACACAAGCATCCACGAACTACTAAGGTACCTGATTATCTGTACTTCTCAAAGAGCACAGACGCAACAACAGAAAGGGGTGAGATTTACATTCAATAATTTAAACGGCGAGAAATCGCATGCTAAGGAGTAGTAAACAAATACACATACAGTCACACGGTTACAATGCACACCTAATTACCAATTACACATAGCTCATCACAGTATGCAATATGACTCCATTGACTCTACATCATGCATGCGGTACCAACACAAACAATACGCTTCATTCATATGAATCCGATTCCCATCGAAATCCAGATGAGCCAATCATATTCCTCTTGAACTTGACTCATCTCCACTCGACTCTCTTCAAGAGTTCGGACGAGACTAGGCACCCAACAAAGGATTCTCACTTGGGCTCATCTCATCACAACACGACACAATGAATGCATGAAATATATAGATAATATGCATAAAAACCCATAAATATTATTTCATAACATACAACCCTCATGATCACACGTGAGTCATATACTCACCATGATTCCTTCTGAATCATCGGCATTCCTCATGAATATCCATACAATCCCAAGGCATTACAAAGGCATCAACATAATTCAAAAAGAAGAATAGTTCACCATTATCATCAATGGAAGCATACATCATTATCATAATGACATAATATCATCATAAAGAAAACACCTATCAAATTGTATCAAGACATGGTTACTCATTAATAGCAAAGATCATACTTCTTATGTTAGCATTACATAGTTCATCACTTAATCTTAATTCAAGCACTGTAAAACTACATCCTATAAATAATTTTATTCTTCCAAGGTAGTTCATTTCATTAGCTTTTCAACACTTCGAACGACGCATCAAACGGAGTCCAGAAACTCAAGTTATGGCCTTTAGAAGAATCTGTCAGAAATTGGATTGCATGAGCCGACGCATGACCCCTTCGAGTCAACGC